CCTACGATTGCAGGCCCTACGGCCTCCAGCCCTCAAAATCGGCAGACCCTCAATGACAGAATTCTGACCTGGTCTTGAAACAAGGCCTGTAGCTATCACAGAGTGGGAGTTGACAACACCCTCCCCAGAGAGAGGGGAAGCGGGGCGATGTGCTTGCCATTGCACGATCTGAAATCTGGGAAGCAGGGCATCTGAGCAGAACTTCTGTTCACATAAGGTTGTGATTAGCTGAACAACCTTTCTTCAAGAAAGTCGCAGCTTGTTTCATTGTTGTGCTGTTGGCAAAACGAGAAAAATAAAAGCCATGCAAAAGCTTCAAGAGCAAAGCGAAGAAAACAAGTTAAACATCATGAAAGTTGGAACTAGAGGTTGTTTTGCCTTGGACAATCTTTCTTCTTCGGCAATGCAGCTGCTTTGCTTGCTTGACTTCTTGATTAGAAGTGTGATGGACGCTCAGTGGAATCCTTTAGTTTATTTGTAGTTGGAGTCAGCAGCACGTTGTGGATGTGGCATGTGCATGCCTCATGCAAGGCAGCCGTGCCTTTCGGTGGACGCATGATGTTTTGTCTCTGCCAGAAGTCGCTCTTCACTGCAAATGTTTTCGATTACAGGAGTCTGCATTCTGTGCGAATAAACATCATAAGCGCAGATCCAGCAGGTAAACACCCACCATCTTTAAAGTCTTTTTCACCCAGACATTTCTGTCACACGGACTTTTTTCTGGCCGACGTCGTGAATTTATTTGTGTGCTTCCATGTTGCTGTTAGAGTGAGTGTAGTGAGCGTGAGGTGTCGCATCGGTGGTTCACAGGCGAGACCGTTGTCGGAAGAGAACATGCAAGTGTGCAGCGGATTGGGAAAAGACTGTCTGTCACATGAACTTGCGGTGACTGCCTCAAAGAAATTCCAAGCTAGGGCTGTTGCCTAGCGGTTTGCACGAGGAATACACTTTGGACACTTTCGACCTCTTTAATGTGGGGCACACAAAATGATGAGTGTTGTACCATGCATTCTTTGGCAGCTATGTTTCGGTGACGACCTGCTTGAGCTTCCTCGAGCTTGGCAGAGCAACTCCTTAACTCGAAGGTTTTAGAGTTCTAGCTGTTCAGCTCGAAACCTTGAGAAGCTCCAACAAGCTTGCAGCCGCAAGCTTCAGCATTCTGAATGACGTTGTTTGCTCCTGGATGGAACTTCAACTGCACGGCGTGGAATCACATCGAGCTTATGCACATGAGCACCCAGGCTTGGGGTTGGCAGCTTTCCAGTTGGGGGCCTGAGCGGGTTTGGAGGTTTGCGGCGTGGCAGCAGTGCGTCATCAGTCTTGAAGTTTCTGGGTCACTGAGTGCATCCTTTCGATTTGGGGTTTTCGCTATGAAATTGAAGTCTATGATGCTCTGGAGTCTTCTTAACATGATCGTGGACAGAGCGGCTCCTTCCATCGTCCATTTCCCGTGAGGCACACTCTATTCTTTTGGGCTGCCTGCTCTTTTTCTGTCGGTTGCGGGGGTCTGCTTCCTCAGAGTGGCCTTTCCCTATTCCTTACAGACGTGACTAGTTGGTTTGTTCTTCAAGCCACAAGCGTGGTCTGCGGGTGGGAGCTAGCGTCCAAGCGCGCCCGACAGATTTTGCCCACCTCGCCCCCCGCAATGTTCTTTCAAAGCTTGCTTATACGTATCCCTTTGCATACAACGCCCCAGCCCAAACTCTACCCCAAGAACTCAACAGGCCAACCCCTGCACATACACTTGAGTTGCAATACACCCCATACATGTAGATTTAACCACCTCAACCCGGCAACCTCAACCAATCCCGATAAAACATTACATAGTTTATGTAGCATCTCACCCCCCAAAAATGGTGCGAGGTTCCTTCTAGAGTTGAGCAACTCGTGTCTTGAATGCTTGTTACTCGTATTTTCCAAACAACAAAACTTCTGTCCTAAAGTAGCCTTTCTATCATTTTGTGTATAAGCTGTGCGAAGCGCTACAGATAGGTGTTCTTTATCTAATTTATCCCTGTTCCTGTATGTCTTAACATGTTTCCAGAAGGTTTTGCTGGATACCTCCTTTTAGGTACAGATTGTATAGCTGTTTGACTCTCCTTCTTTTTGATTCTTCGGCATCCTTGCTTGCTCAGGTGTAATTCCGGTTGCGGAATGATTTCTTAATTATTCATCTGCCTTTATGCGCTGAAACAGCGCTCGTCTGAATAATGCCTCTGAGATCGTTTTCCAATCTTTTGCTGTGCTTCCATTCTTCTTGCTAAGACATCCGGTGGCTCCTTTGCTCTTAATAGGCACTACTGCTACATATTTACCTACTGTTACATATTTACGTAATGCGTCCATTATCAAACCAATTCGAAACTTCTGATTCGGTAGGTCGTTCTTAGAACTGGCGGGGCATTGAAGGAAATCTAGCATGACAGTTGTCTTGCTTTCAATATTTTTGAAGACCAATTCACGGACATTTTGCAAAATATCGTTTTACCCATTTCCTTGTTTGCATACTGACAATATAGGTTGTGTTTATGCTACTGTATCTGCTTCTGTCATAGTCGATACCACTTACATGATCATCTTCATATCATTATTTGTTATCATAATCATAAAGTCAACATAGTGGTTGATGGACCTGCACTTGCATGCTTATAGTGGGTCAGTGGGTGTAGGTATTATCAACTCGTTGTGCTATTAGGTTGCCTCTCACAACCCCATCTACTTTTTCAACTGCATAGGTTTCTCCACATTGCCCTCTCATCGTCTCCTTCCACCAATCTTTTGGAATGTGTTCTGCTTCGTCAGTCTTTCTACCCGTATTTGCTTCCCTCTCCTGCTCCATATACTTTCTATCCTTGTTGTTCAAGTCCTGCTCAGCTCCTCCTCAGAAGTTGTATTGACATCGTACTTTTTCAAATCTGATTCCTGGATATCACTGCATCAGCAGGTGCAAGCTGTGCGAACGAACTTGTAATCACGATGAACGTGCAGATACGGAAAAGCTACCTCTGTCCGCCATTCACAGTGAAATCCGTAAAGCCTCTCCGATCAGCTCAAGAACTGCTGCGCTGACCGGAAATGACAGTTCGTGCTGTGCAAGCACGGCTGTGCAGATTGATGTGTTGTCGAGTGTGCAATGGCTTCAGCTGTAATGCAGGGTTAAGAGACTCTACCAGGGGAGGTTGCACCGCCTTATTGGGACAAGATATTGCTGGTATAACTCAAGCGTGTGCGTAGGGTTGGCCTGTTGAGTTGTTGGGGTAGAATTTGAGCTGGGGCGTTGTATGCAAAGGGATATAAGCAGGCTTTGAGGAAAGTTGAGGCTGGAGTGGTTGAGGTTGGGACAAGGTGGGCGCTATACGTTTCGGGGCGGCACTAGCTGGGGGATAGGTTATGCCCCGCTGGCCATCCAGTAGCAGAAAACACGAAAAAAAGAGCAGACTTTTTCATACAGTTCACTCGGGGCTCCAGGTTGTTCGCGGATGCAGAGGTGGGTTTCTCTCGCAGCACCACGAGAAATCAGGAGTTGTAACAGGTGGAGGCAGCAACCAGTGGACCCGATACAACCAAAGCAAGTTTGATCTTCACCGAGGCGCATTTTTGCAAGTCCCTACTTAGTGCCCTACTTGCTCCGTCTTGTCACTTGTCCTCTTTGGAAGGCAGCTCCGTTGATACAGCTCTGTCGCGGACACAGTTCGCTTCACCGGAGCTTGGTTGAAGGGCTCTGGGCGCAGCTTGTCGGAGGGATTTCCGAACCATTAGTAGGGTCTTAGGCATGCAGGCTTGAGTTGAAAGTCTGTGGCTGCACCGGTTTGGCGGCGGGGTGTTTTTTGATCTCGGGCTCAGCGAGAGCTTAAAAAGCTGAACAACATTGGGTGCTTCGCATTCCTAGTTTGGATACGGTTTGAGAGTTATGCGTTCCAGAAAGTTCTGCTATCCCTTGACATGCAGAGGTCTGTGTCCTCAGCTTTTGCTTGGTTCAAAGACGGTTCTATGGGCTTTGATGCGTCTTTTTGGCTGTTCCAGGTTTTTGCCGTGAGCTTCCTGACGAGTTTTCCCATTTACTCGTAGTGTCTATCGAACCCCCTTCACTTCCCGATCTCCCAACTCGCGACACTACGAAGCATCATTCGAGAGATATCAAAAAGATATCTCCTGCACTTATGGCTTGCAAGGGTGAACCCCACATCAAGTTTTTCGTCTGAAGAAAAGATGGAAGCCTTGGCTTGGAAACACAGAGGAGGGGTGCCTCTCAAACCCAGGTATTGCTCGCCGCAGCTAGGCCTTTGCCAGACTCGGCAGATTGATGCTTGGCTCGGGATGGATGTCAGGGTTATTCTGAATCACATCCGTTTTAGAGTTCCATTGTAGTATGGTCCAATATGGCCCATGCCCAGAATCTTGAGCAACCTCCAACAGCCAAGTAGCAGACACCTCGCCTGCACAAACTCTAACCAACCTACACCCTCGATTGAACAACCGGAACATGTTTTTGAATCATAAATCCAGTGGAGGGAAATGGCCGCCTGAAGGCGACCTCGACTCAACAAATCGCGACGAATTTGAAAAGCGAGGCTTAACAACCAGGATTGGTTTTGGTCCAGCTTATATTGCATCCATTGCACGCTGTCGGGAAATCCCCTGAACATCGTTTACTGTTCTTGAGATCAGTCTCGCGGCAGCTTGGGGTCCAGGAAATGCTGGTGAAACGTGCCAGAGCTCGCTTGGAAGCGCAAACCGAAGAGGTCCGATGGGTGGGGCAGGTTCCAGCCCCAAAATGAGAAATCCCAAAACCCTTCAAGTTCTAAAGCACGTAATCCTAAGCCCCGAAAGTGTAAAACCCTTAACGCAAAACTCAGGTTTGCACCCTAAAGAAGGCAACCCCGAAAACAAAACTTCGGGGATTGGCAGGGTGCAAATGTATCGGGTTGCTTCGTGGGCCAATTTCTAGTGCATGTCAGCATGATGATCATGATGGTCGTCATCGTCGCCATCATCATCATCATCAGCATCAATGTCGTGTTCACCATCACCATGCTCATCATCTCCATCATCATCATCATCATCATCACCATCACGATATTTTGTATTCATTGTCATCGTCTTCATCGTTTTTTTTTTTTGCGGTGCGAGCTTAAACTGCAACTTTGGGACTGAGGCTTGGAGTTCCGGGTCGCAGTGGGGTTGAAGGGTCGCGGGCGAAAGTTTTTGTTCAAGTTGAGGACCGACGGTGCAACGCGGAATTCGTGGAAGTTGGCTGGGGTGCTTTTAGGCCTGATTTTGCACGTGTGGCGAAGATATCATGTCCTTAGTTGTCGTTCTGTATTGTCTTGAAGTGGTGTGGTTTATCGCGTCTTGCATTATGTGGTGCCATGTCCTACGGTGTTAAGTGTAAAACAGATGATCAGGTAAGCAAGTACAAGTAGATGTACAGACGTACCTCTGTTCGTACTTCGTTGCAGTGCAAGGGTTGGTTTCATATTGCGAAGTAGGGCGTCATTAGGGGCACTATTGTTGTGCCTGTTGGTGGTGACTTCTAGTTTTCGGGAATTGGATTCTGTGTTGCAGTACGCCCCGCTGTGAACCAATACATTAGCTTGAATCCTCAGCCTCGAGTGATTCTACTAGTGCGTCGGGGGAGACCTTCAGGTCAGCTTGAAGTTGACAAGGACGCAGCGGGAACCAAAGCTGCACTGTTGGCATAATGCGGAAGCTTTTTCCGGTTCAATTTGGCTCAGAATCCTGGCGGCCTAGCGTCCAGGGGTGGCAGAGCTTCCTGGCTCAGGTTCGCATGGGGCCAGGGGTGACCAGGTGCAAGGTCTCGGGGTTTGACCGTCCGAGCTGCATTCGGTGAAAGCTGCCAGCATCTTTTATTGGACTGCGCTAAGAAGTTGATCCGTGTCCAGCTTGCCCATGCATCATGAAATAGACTACGTGCTGAGTTTTCTTCGGGCCTCATGCTCGCGAGATGTCAATGGATCCTGGAAAGAAGTGCAGAAGAGGTATTATGGCATAGATGAGCGTAGTGATGCCGCTGTAGAGGACTCCAAGATGGCAAACCCCTAATTAGAGCCTTCAACGCCTGGATCCGAAAACCTGCAGACTCGGTCGCATTTTGGAGGAACTCTCGCTTCACGGCGAAGTTTGTGGCGGTGGTGTCGGATTCCTTCCAGCTGGTTTGGAAAGACTCGGGCTGTGCCGACTTTGCCAGATCCTTGAAGGCCCGCTCCCAGTGAACTTGAGCTCTTGTTCGCCACGGAGTGTCAAGAACTCGTAGGTGACGGCGGTGCTATTGCCATTGCTATGGCTATTGGCTATTGCTATTGCTGTTGCTGGTGTGCTAGTACTGCTACCGCCAAGGCCGCTGCTGCTGCTTCTTCGACTACTGCTACTACAGCTGCTACTACTACTACTACTACCACTACTACTACTACTACTACTACTACTACTACTACTACTACTACCACTACCACTACCACTACTACTACTACCACCACGACTACTACTACTACTACTACTACGACGACGACGGCTACTGCGAACTGTTCTTGCCTGTTACTGCAGAGGCGCTCTGCCGCGTCCACCTGCGATGTCAAAGCAGCGATTTCCATAT